AAAGGTATTGTACAAACTTCGCTGACTAAAGAAGAAGAAAGATGTAGGGATTTGGGTTTCAAAGTTCTGGCTGACGGCAGAGAATACAATATCTATGCTGCAGTTTCAATATTTAGCTTTTAAAGTCTGTAATAAATATCAACTGTAATATAATAGCAGCAAACCATGGATTATGTAATATTTCAGTTGCTTTATCTGTATTTACTGCAGAAGAGGTTCATTTTACGTTAATTTTTTACCGTAAAATTGACATTGTCATTATCTTGTTCGTGTCTATGTAAAGCACTAGGTTATAGCTTCCGTTGTATTAAATCAGATGGCATTTACCATAACCTGTCTGTCATAGGAAATATGTCGAAGTTCTTGCAAATCTTGCAATCACAGCCCCTGGGGGCCGTCGACATAACATCAAAACCTGCACACTAAAGGTCGGTTGGGAATAACTGATCATGTCAGTCATGTCATTTTTGGCACCATGGTGACAGGCAAGGTCTCTCCCTAATTCACCTTCTTTGCCTTCATGCACCTATCGATTTCTGTAAAGTGCACTGAAGGTTAAAGCAATCCATTTCGATGCAGCATGAAGGCCTAGATTGCGCTCTGGATTTATAATCATATTTGGGGATTTGTCATGAGTGACACGAGCTACTAATTTGGGGAACGCCTGGAGATTTAGAGGCGTGGCATTTTATCAAACCGTGGTTTAGTCGATGTTGCAGCTTACCATCACAGTCCAGTTTAAATGTCGTACAGTACGCGACTTCAATGTCTGCATACTTTGAAGATTAAAAGGTTGACAAACTTTTAAACAGCAATTTCTATGCGCATGTTTGAATACGTATTAGGAAATTGTAAAAAAAATTACACAAAAGGAATAGAATTTGATCAAAAAGAAAATAAATGAAAAATCCTTCCTTGAGTAAGTTTGCTGCAAGTAATACTTCAAGAGCAAGTGAATGACCCAACAACAGAGGACCTCACAGAGTGACGAATGAAGTTGCCGAACCTTCTTGAATGATGTGGATTCGCAATTACGATAAACTCAGTCTGTCTGCTCGCAGCCCAGACAGTTGATTATAGATAAAGAAATCCACAGGAGATGGTTGATGTATGATCTGTCACTACGGCTTACCGGTGACTGCTCTCTCAACAATGGGGCTGATCAACCCAGATCCAATACTTGGAGAGCGGAAGGTTTTTTGTTGATTTTGCAATTGGCCAGTTCTATGCAATAAATCCCCTGCCTTTTGCTGTATGCTGGCATACATGGCAGATAATATTATGCCAAGCAAAGGTATCAAAAAGCTCTACTTTCTAGATAATTGGACAGAAGAACATGACGATACCAAAGGCAGATTTGCCTACCTGTCGAGGCTAATCGACATAGATATACCGCTATGTGAAGCCCTGCGGTGACTGTGAAATTACAGCTTTTGCAGTTAATATATCACAATTGAGCAAACAAGCCTGCTCCAGTGGGCAACAAGACTCCGTAATTACGTTCACTCCAATATTAAACTCATTTGTCAAACAAAGTAATCAGAGCATGGGGTAATTGATCTCCCTCGGCCAGAGTGTTATGAGACGAATTGTCTCTTTAACTTCCTTGACTTTAGCTGAAGACAGAGCGTAGTGGCTTTTGATCGTCATAGGTCTTGGAGCTACAAGACAAGCTTAGTTTTAGTTACTACGTACAGTTGTGTTTCCTGGATGAATATTTAGCATCAAGTCTTTCCATTTCTTGTTTTTAAATAACTGTTAATAGCAATGTTGCAATAGTTAAAGCTGATTCGCAAGCAAAGTTTCTAGCTTCAATAGCTCTTTCTAACGTCGAGTGTAACTCATACTTCACAGGAACAGATAATTCCATATCTGGGCTCTTATCTAGACGTTTCCTGCAAAAATTATGGGTCATTAGCATCGCACATGAATCTGGTAAAGGTCATTACAATATTTCATCTAAGTACAACCAGCCTCAGCTGAGGGGAGATGCAATTATCTAATAATATTTCAACTATAATTATCAATGGCGCCATGGAAAAAGCAAAAGGTCGCTAACAGTATTAACCCGTCTAGTCTGAGGTGTTACTGTAGCAATAAATCCAATGTATTTGATATTTCCGGGGCAAAGGGTGTAATTGTTTCTTGGCCTTTGCTGCTGTTGGTATTTCTCCTATAACCAATGTAATCACGCAAACGAGAGCAAAGCTGGCCATATAACTTTAACGAAACCCTTTCGAACTTAAAATATGTAAATGTACTATGAAACAACACTTTATATCACAGAAAGGGACAATGCATGCAGAATTCAAGCGCTGCCTCTGTCTTCTAGATTTGGTTCCGGAGTTTCTGCTATCATCTAAATTGTGTGCAACATTGCGTACTCTTTTATGACCTTTGCCATCTCGTCACTTTTACAGCATTCCTTTAAACTCTTTACATGCTAAAATCAGTTTCTTTCTAATAGTAGTGCTTATTTATATTTCTGACAGTCTTACGTGAGTGTGCAGGTAGTATTAATGTGATGTCGCTGCTGAAACGACTTTGTGGCTTGTACCTCATAAGGGCCATTGTAACTTTCTACAAAGCGTATATTACGTCAAAGTACAAAAGCCAAAATACGTAAGCAAAGGCAAAATACGACAGAAAAGTCAAATAATGTACCATACTAGCTAATGGTATCTAAAATGTCCATCTAGCTGTCATGAAAAAAGATGTATAAATACTAGAGGCTTTTGGGTCCATGGTTTTATATTAGCAAGATCAACTTTACGGTTACGTTGGATATACGTCCCCCTCTCGTTTGACGTTTAATGTAATAAAATCAGCCATTTGGTGGATGGAGAGATTGAAGTGGATTTGAAGGTGGCGCCATTACTCGTCATCCTGGCTTTGATCGGACTCAGGTCTGTCCTGGACATCATCAACCATACATAAAATTCCGTATCGGTCTTCCTTTATGTCGATCTGCAGCACCATACAGACCAGATGGGTAATGCACGGGCTTTCATGTACGATGCTTGGGTGGCGTTTTAGGAAAGATTCGTCCACGAACAGATTTTTTAAAAATATCATGTAATTCTACTTTCAAAAAAATGAGGAATAGCATAATTAAATCTGGAATTTCATTTTAGAGTCTACATTTCGTTATAATTCGGGACTCAGTATCTTTTGAGATAACGAAGCAATATTTTGTGCATCAGGAGTCCCCACATTCTGCTTGTGGCATCGAATGCCTTGAAAACTGTTTTACTGAAGCAGAAAAAAATGATGTTTACTTAAGTGGCATTCAGTAATTTGCAGATTTAATTTATCAAATATCCATCCTTACTAGTAAAAATGTTGATAAATCCAACCAATCGTTATCATTTTTTGCCAAATATGTGGATAGCTTATACATTTATTTATTCGACACATTCAAGCACCGTTTTCTGTACAAGAGTTTTACATAAAATATACATTCAATCACATTTTAATGGAAGCTAAATGAAATTGTTCCAAAATATGGACGTGGTTCTTGTAGCTGAACATGTTAAAAGATAGCAAACTTTGCTTGCAAGAGCTTTGCTTTAACAGATACATTGAATACAATTGTAATAAGAATGAAGGCATTTCATGGTGACTTACTTGTAAACAAAGCATTGTTTTAAAGGCACATAGAGCTTACACGAATAAACTAATTCAAAGTACATCACTACATTCTGTTGTTGATGTTGTTATAGTTTGAGTACCTTTGCAAACGATCGAAATACTCTGGAATTAGTAACTATGTATGTTGCAATCTAATGCCACGTGACATGGAAAGAGTAGCTTACTACACTTTCTATTTTGCCTCTCTTTGTTGCAGTCAAAGGCAACAAATATGTGTAGGGAGCAGCTTTGGTACCCACATTTGTCCTACAAAGTTAAACTCATTTTTTCTTTCTTTTTTTCCTTAATAATATGTATCAAGGGACCGTAGGATGAAATTAAAGATGGAATGTAAACATATAAAGCATAAATTTGCTAATAATATTGCGTAGATTTAATTTTTTGCTGAAAAAAGGTAAGTTCGTTTGATACGTCGATGAAGGTTAGACATCCAGGTAATACGATACGCCAAAAAGCAGTTACTCGCCAAAAAGCAGTTACTTTGACGTTTTCAAAATCATATCCAGTTGCTTGAGTAACTGCTTTTTGGCGTGAAGTTCGTTTGATGTCATACCTGGTTTGCCAAAACAGCACATCATTATTGTTTAGCGTGTAGAAAAATCTAACTATCTTACTGTCAGGCATGACAAATTCTTAGCCTCTAGGCAACATGTACGACAAATCATCCGAATATTATCTTCTTTATCTAAAATAAAATGGTATGACTAAAACTGGGGAAAACCAAATGGTGGGCTGACTAAAACTGCTCTGCGGCATCTGCCCAGCCATCCTGAAATAAGAAATACTTATATTCAATTTGAGATGTAAACTACGTAACCGTAATTATAATAATCATATATATTTCCAAAAAAGTATAAAATTTATACTACAGCTCATGTAATGTTACAATGCTTTTGATAAAAGGAATCTCAACTCGAGAAGCAAGTGTTCTGCGCTAAGGCACTTTACGGAATATCATAAGAATTTAAATGTCTTATACATTTGCTTGTTGATATCATTTTCTGAATTACTTACGTGATGTACGGGTAGTCGCTTAACCTTAGTTTGCCTGTAGTTCGAGACGTGTGGATGAATGGCTGGATTGTGGTGGGCACCTCTGTTGTATGAAGACCCGTGTATATGTTTTCTGTGCGGTTCATTCTCGTCGCTGTAAAGTTTTCTTCTCTCCGTGTCGGTGTGTGGAGGGGTTCGCATGGACGAGTCTTAGAAACAAAATAAAATCCAGTAAATACACGTATTTTCATTCTGAGCTGTGGCCAATGTTCGAACATTTGGTTAAACAGTTCTGCATGAACAGACAGCAACGGTAATGTTAATCGCAATACATCATGTAAACTCAGGTCACTGTTTTAAACTGATTTTTACGAATTTCAAAGTGTCTTAAAATTCTTACTTTTGATGCATTATTACTGATAGTAAATTCAAATCATGTAGTGACGAGCAAAATTCTTAAATTCAATAGCAAACGTTGCTCATCTCAATACGGATCCAATTAAATGATATAAAATCAAACAATTTTTTTCTGCATGCAAATAGTCTAAGTAAAATTTCAAGAGACATGGTAAACCGATATCATAGAAACTTGGCAATTTCTTACGATGGTAAGATATTTCGATGGCGTAGGGGTCCTTCTCCACCCAATGAGGTCTCTGAGGCTTAACGTTGCCGCCAAAATCTTCCAGCTCCATTATTACCGTCGTTTGTTTCGGAAGAGGTGGATGTTTGTTGTCATTCGGTACATGTACGTCCCCTGAAACAAGGTTTACTACGTCTAAGTACCGGATTAGAGTAATAACGTTACATGCATTTATTATTAGTAAAGGTTACAGACATAAATACTTATCAATCCGAGCAATCAGACGAAACACTTGTTTGTTAAAGGTTAATGTGCAGAACTCCAACTTTATGGTATGGTACGACATCATCATTTGTGGCCTTGCCCAACATGCGGCAAGTAATTTCCTAAGACCATATCTTTATCTTGGACTGGCATTTATCGTGCCGGATGCATCTGCTGCAGTGAGTAACATCGGGTATAACCTGTGGCTGACTAATTTCCTACGACTTATGTTGGCCATATACAACATCCCCAACCATGAATACTAAATATGCCTGCGAAAATGTATGTGCAGAAAAGAACATGTTCTTCTTAGTGTACACTATTTAAAAAAAGAGCACTAATAAAATGCCGTATTTACGTGTTTTCGTTTTGCAGCAAACACAGCCCCATTTCCTTGCTATGCAGATCCCAGCCACCACAGTGAGGAAGATGGACACGACAAGAACTCCTGTCACTACTGCAATAACAAATACAGGCGGACCTACAGGGACAAAAATAAAATCTTACTTAAAGATTTAGAAAAAGATTCTGTTAATTGACATTCTTTCACGAGTGTTTAGGCCTAGGACGAACTAATGAACCAAACCAAAAGGTCACTTATAATAGTGACATTTACGAGTCTTTGTCATGTTCAATTGGTTTTTCCAGTTTCTTCACGTAATTTTTTCTCAGTTTATTTAGTGACGCCGAAGAATTGTGACGGATGTCACTCGAAACGTTCGGAAGTTATACCTGTTATTTTTATCCAGTAGTACCGTTTGATTTTTCTTCGAATATTGTTTACCTGGATGTCTAACCTTCATTAACAAAATGACACTCATACCAAATGTTATGATTGTTGGTGCTTAGGAAACAATGTTCATAGTTACAGCCGCCATGTTTGTTAGGCACTAAATAAAACGACGTAAACCCAACTCCTAGCCACAGCATAAGCATCATAGTCACATGGGTATAGATACACATACCTTCCACCAGTATTGTAAAGCCACGACTATCCGTTCCAAACATGTTCTGCGCCGTACATGTGTACTCCCCGGTGTTGCTTGTACTGACCGGGTCTATGACAAGTATACTCTCCGCACCCATATCTGTGGTCCGGCGGGTCAAGTCCATGCCACTGAAAGTATTCCCGCTGAGAACAACTTCTTGACCGTTACTGCTTCTCCATGACCACGTGATGCTCTCTGGAAGAGGATCGGCGTTTACCTCGCACAGAATAGTAAGAGAACTCCCCTGCGATGTTCGTAGAGTATCTGGACCTCCTAGAATGGCGGGTCTACCTTAAAGTGTAAAGAAGGGCAAACGTGTGTACATGAAATAAAAGTTAATGAATGTACAGAGAGAGAACATAAAAACGTTGGGAAAATCACATCTAATTAATCATTGTATAACATCATGTATCATTGTAGTGAAAGTGTTGAAATTTCACTTTTCGACCAGTTCTAGTTGGATGATATGAATAGTTGGATGTTTGGATGATACTTTTGATGTAGAGTAACATAGATTTGTACCTACCAATAACATCAACGACGGTTCGCTTTACAGTTGCAGGAAAACCGGCACTTTCTGCTACACATTCGTACTCCCCTTCTGTCTGGTAATCGGATCTGGAAAAACTAAGGAACAAAGTTTAGTCAATTTAAAGTGTGCCCAAGGTCGTGTATGAACACATTTATTTGCCTGTACTTTCAAGATACAAGATACTGTGAATGTTTAATGATATAGATTGCTTCATTAAGTTTACTCAATTGATTACGTAAAGTTACCACGTATAGTAAGAGCAGCATTCTTTCTGCGAGGTAACAGAAATAACAAAACTTACCTTAACGGGTTGTTGAAATACAAGTTCGTGTTTGTCCTCCGCCATCTAATGTTGGGCTTGGGGTTCCCTTCTGCTTTACACTCAAGAGAAAAGTCTGACTTGCCAAACAGCACATTCACTTTGTCGTCAAACGTCTTCTGGATGGTCGGAGGATCTGCAAAATACGTACATCAAGATCTAGATAACCCTCAAGCAGATTCTGTGGGGCAAGGGGAGTCTCCATTGGCCTCCTGTAATCATTGACACCCCACGATGGTTACAGAAGGCCGATGTAGACTCCCCTTGTCTCACAGAATCTGCTTGGGGATTAGACCCAGATCCGCATTTATTGTTTGGTTAAACTTTGGTATTTTACTTTCCAAACAATCAAAAACAGTTGCGAATCTCCATGTCATAATCTTTAAGTTGCCAGAGAATCAGCATCATAGTTACCAGATAGAGACAAGTGTAATAGTAATAGATAATAAAACGGTTATAACTATTAGCTGTAATCTAATGATAATACTATGACTGATATGTAGTACAGAGTTATAAGTTTTTTCTTCGAAAGGCCTTACACAAAACATCCAGCGAAAGCGTGGCTGAGTCGGCAGGTCTGATGCCGTTGTCAGCTCGGCATTGGTAAATCCCGGTGTCACTTCGGGACACTTTCGTCAGTAGAAACGACCAGTTGCTGGTAATGAAAGCCAAAAGGAAATCATTAAAACAAATTCTAGGGGAAGGTGGATGCTGTACATCAACTGTGGTTTCGACTACTGTATGAAGCAAGGGTAGTAATAGGGGTGAATGGAAAAGGCCTAAAAAGCAATAACTACTTCAGAAGTACGATTAGGCGTTGATTAAAACACAAATAGCTATCCGTTTAAATGGTATGCAATTAGTTACAACTTTCCTGCCAACCACTACACCATCGGGTGTTCGATTACATTTGAAGCAGCCATGGCCGACACCAATTTTTAAGACTTCGACTTCGACATAAAAACGGGACACAGCTGTCTAGTAGAAAATATAGTGACTCTTTGTCTCATTGTCACCAAGTCCGTTACCTTTCTTTTCCTTTAATCGGCAACGGACCATCCAGTTTCTTCCATCTGACGGCTGTCCAGGGATTACTATCCACAAAGCAGCTAAGGTTGGTAAAAGTCCCCTCCTTCACACTCCACAGGTTTTTGATAGGATAAACTGTGGGTGAATCTGTGATATAGAAATATACTGCTTTCATATAAGGCAATTTCTTTCACATGTATCGTAATGGTATGAATACCACTTGATATATCGTTTTGCCATGTGGATATACAGAATGTTTGTAATTCTTTTACTTCACATGCGCCTGTGCATTACATCATATGTAGATGCTTCCACTATCAACAGCTTGGTGATTGCTTATCTTTGAGAATAGAATATGTATTATTCTAGCTTTAAATATGACTTGTACATTTAAATGAAGACTCTGTAGGGTTCCCCATTGTTCTTACAGTATCTTATGAAGCTGACTTGTTTTCTTACTTACATTGAACGTCTAATATGAATGAAGTCACGCGTGGTTCCACCAAGTCCGGAAAACCTTGGTCTGCTTTACAGGACATGTTTACTCCATTATCCCACTTTACTACAGTTGGTATCGTCAGGTCAAATATGACCTCTCCGTTCTCCAATTCCCTGCTCTGTACGAATGTGTCGTCTACGGGAACTGTTCCGTTATTCCAGGTGAGTTTGGGCGGCGGTAGACCACCTCTGGAGCGGCAGCTGATATGCAGTGATTGCCCTGCCGCTACAGATCTACGGCTGGCGACTATTTCTGGCGGTTCAGTAGGGGGTACTGTAGAAGGTAAAACAACGCCGCAGGTGCAGGAGATGCAATTATGATACATATTCAATATCCACTGTACTCATATGATCCTTGTAACATGCAATTTTGCCTATGTGAACTGGCAAAAGCTGGACTTAATGTATGTAATTGGTGGCTTCAGATAACCAGATTTACAAGCTTCAGATAACCAGCTTTACATGTGGCTTAAGATAACCAGCTTTACAATTTAACGTCATTTGTAAATTTTATGAGAAAATTGGAGAGATTCCTTTAGTGAAATAGTAGAAGAGTGTAATATAGACAACTATATACTAGCACATACTTAGTATCAGTACGTAATTATCTTATGATGTTCCTATATAATGACCAATCATATAACCGCGAGGAAAATGGATTAAATAAAAAAACTAATTTGAATTCGGATATGCACCACTGTAGGCCTGAACGCTTACCTATGACTGTCAATTTTGCATCCACGGCCTCTCCAGCGGAGAAGGTACTACATCGGTAAACTCCGTCATCCTCCAGCTGCACATTCCGAATCTCCAGGTTAAATTCTCCAAAATCCGCGTTAGAATCAACGACTGAGTATCTGAGGATGGACGTGAAAATGAGTCATATATTATTGCTTCAACTTTTTTTTTAATTTGCTAAGTATAGTAAAACCTGCAATATTGTGCTCTTTTATAATTAAATTTATATCTTCCTCTTTTGCCTCTTCATGAAACAAGAAAATATGACAATGAAAAGATTGAGTATGACTTAACAATAGTGCAACGTCAATTACATGATTTATTTTACTGATTTATTTTCAAATATTAATAACTTCCCTAATATCAATTATTCTTCCAATATCCACGTAATTGACAAAAGGGTGCGCCAAAATGATTTTAAATGTTAATTCTAAGGAATTCTTTTGACATGAAGATTCTTCCATCAAGCACCGATTTCCATGGTCCTACCTACGAGATAGCATTACAAAGGGATTCCAGTATGATAAAGGAAATTGATTCATTCGTCTTGACTTTATATTGTTTGACGCATTTAAATCATACTTTCATGTGAAAGCATTGCGTAGCTCAATTTACACGGTACTGTTCCAAATGTTTTCATCTGTTATTCTATTGCAATTTGGATTAGTTCATTAGTGAATGACCTTCAATATGAAGCCTGAAATCAACGGTATGATAATCCAATGTATATTTTGAGGAGAAAATTAGGTTGAGACCCTCCGCTTCTTTGATTGTTTGACGACGTTTTTGGAGTAATTTGGTCGTAAAATACCAATTAAAACTGACAATATAAATTGCCCAATCCCTTGATTATGACGACGAATATATATTTGCACCTAGAATTCGTAATTGAATTATCGTATTGTAATGGAGATACATTACGCACATTTTATATGATAAATGATTCTATTACAATGTTACATATTACCGGATGCAATGTATCCTGCATATCATCACCTTGTGTAGCCCAATCACTTGATTATGATGACGTATATATATTTGCAACTAGAATTCGTAATTGAATTATCGTATTGTAATGGAGATACATTACGTAAATTTTCTACAATAAATGATCCTATTACAGTCTTGCATATTACCGGATGCAATGTATCCTGCATATCATCACCTTGTGTAGCGCTTGTGCACATTCCGTCCTTTTGAAATGTGCTGGAAGTCCGGCGGGCCAAACCAATTTACCACGTCTTCTATCTCCAGGTGGTCAAAGGAACATCTGAGCTTCACGGTATGACCCAGCAGCGCTGCCGTGGGCTGGGGAGCAGTCCTGTAGGACGCCGCGTCAACTGGAGAGACAGTTAAAAGGCACACTCATTGGCATTGCACACATACAGCGGTGGCAATGCTAACATACATTGTTGGGAATATGTTAATACAGTTAATACAAAAAGGGTAAACTATAAAGGTAACATTTACAAAGCAAATGCATAATGTTTACTTCCCCATATGGCCTGCTCTTCTTACTAAAACATATATATATATATATATATATATGGCCAGACAGGAGTCTAAATCCCTCCTGCTATAAAATTGCAACATGATGTAACCCAACATTAGTTACCATGGTGACAGACGTCTGGTTTGGGTCATTGATCTTATTTGGAGAAGAAGAGGAAGAAGAAACAATATGTTTTCATCTGCAAGTAAACATGAAAAGGAACAGGAAATTTAAATTAGTAAAAAAAAAACAAAGAAAAAAAACGTTTTCTTTCTGAAAATACCTATTGAGAGAGAAACTAAAGATGGAAAGATTGAGCCATATTAACAAATGACTTAATCTATTCTGCCAAATCGTTAATTACAGATGGGGATTATGATAAAAGATTTTCCTGCAAAAACAACGTTACAGCTAACAAAATAGAACACACAAAATAGCTGTTAATTGCATAATCTAGTAATTAACAACAACGGGGCAATCAACGTGGTTGCATCAAGATATATACTCTATCATAGTTAACAAAATTACCACATATTGCGCCAATAATAATGAATAATAGAATATAAGTTCGTATATCGGCAATGATAAGCATTGATATACACGACAAAAAGTCCGTATCTTAAAATCTTGATTTATAGCGAAGAATCCCATCAAGTTTATCACTCTTGCGTAAAATATCCCCAAGTAAGATATGCTCTACTATCTACTGAATCCCTGAAACAGGATTGTACACTTTCCTGCGGCTGTATTTCATGGAGGTGTGGATGATTTACTTCGTGCTCTTCAGGCCGGGAAATGCAAAGTCGTTAATGAATCGTTTTACTGTTACTCATTTTTCAAGGCATTGCCTGAAACGATACTCAATTTTCACAATAACAATTACATATTACAAGCATATAAAAACACAAAATATGCTGAAATTAATAATAGAATATAATGGAATTTTCTTCCAACCGCTACCGCATCTCAATAGTTTTATATAAGAGCATTTGGGTTTTAAGGCCTTATCTTGAAACTTTTGCCTCCAGAGGTCCATTTGGACTACTTAATTTTTCCATTACAAATTCGAAAGAACGTAGGAGTTGACATCGACCCTTGCTCCAACTTTGACCCGACATGCTCCATCGGATTTACCAGGGACAGCACCATGGCGCGTGTTGTATAATAAAGGTCAGTGCAGCAGAGACCCAGATGTCCGCTAAAAGTAACTAGCGTGGAAATCTGCACGACTCCTCACTTAGGGCATCAGCCAGAATCTCTCCAAGGCCGCATCTTGAATGATGTTTTATTTAACTGCAGAGCAGATGTAATCTTTAGGGGCCATTGCCCTTTGTGACAGTACAGCTCGAAGGTACCACATGTGAGTATACAGCTTATATTCCCTAAAAGTACTAAAACTACTTTATTATTATAGTTTATGCAAAACGCGACATTTTTCTCCCATTGCCACGTTGCATAAATTTACAACAAAGGGCAAAACTTCAAATTTCAACATTGCAAAATTGAAACGAAAATTTTCAAACTGTTCATATTTCCTTTTCATCTCTTTTTAAGTTATTGCCAAGAGACCATGCAGAGCATATAGCATTACTGCAGAGTTGCAGAGATCTTTTGCGTTATTTGTATGAATTAACAAGCCTACTCACACTCAAAAATGGTTTGACTCTACGATTCATCTAACTCCGTAAAAACAATGTACCTGAATTATAATTTGTCTTTACCTAAAACTGGGCAATACGGTGGAAACAAAAGAATCAAGTGTTGAAAGAGCCAAAAACAGAAATTGTAGTAGAAACCACAGGACTACAACTGTTCCTACATAAAATTATGCAACATGCAACCTTGTCATTCCTACGTTACAGTATTTTCTGTTATCTATGGGAGAGATATTGGAACAGTCTGACCACAGGGGCAGGGAATTTAGTAGTGTGGAATTGACTGCTAATGAAAGTGCCCACCTAGCATGTTGGCTATATATTTCTGCAATCACCATAAAAAGTAATCTGTGCCAGGACTTGACCCAGAAGTGTATCTATGTCTTCTTGATTAACACGCTCATGCAGGTAACAAAAGAACATGCGTGATTTTTATAATGATAATACGTCGAAAAATGCTGTGATATCAGTCTCGGAATGTTATTCAGTTGGTTCGATCTTAAAAAGACAAAACAATATAAAACTCATAATGCGTATTTTTATTCGACGTAATGCATAGTGTATTGACGATGTTTTGGCCACTATATTTACAATCAACAAGAGATATAAGTACATTTTTAGAGTAATATGTAGGTTGCTTAGTTTGAATTTCCATGCAGGTAATCGTAAGTATAAGTTTATTCCGTCTGAATGGAAGAAACCTTACATGAAGCTACGGGTGCTGCATATGGTAATGTAAATCAGTAAAGAATAAACAACAATTTACGTCAAATACAAACATATCTAAACAACAATTGCCTTTATACCTTACGGATTTGAGTAAATTGTTTCTCATTTATTCTGATATAATCCAACAACCAATATGATTAAAACGTCGCACTTATTCATCGCGGCTAATACAATGTCCCGTCTATTAAACCTTTACTGTAACGTCGATATATTTTACGACTGGCCGTTTATGTGTGGACGTGCAGGTTTTGCTTGAGCTATGTAACGCTAACGGCAGCTCCAAAAGCAAGTACTGCAGTATTGCAGCAAAGTTGCCATCCACCCTTTGGATTTGTTTCAAACCTGAGGAATTTGGTTGTTTAAGTGTATGGCTATATGTATTATGCCATTACTACATAATTGCATACAGCTGCCACCATTTAAGTCTTAAAAGCTCAAAACCTTCAGTTGGCATGAAAGTTCATTAGAGTTGGTAAAATGCATAATGAAAAGCAAGCTGCTCACCAACTCAAGACACGAAAATAACTCACCAGTTTTATCACGCGAGTGCTGTGGACAGCACTTGGTCAAAGTTCGTCGGAAGTCGATACCGCCCCCCGTCCTGGTTGAGCGAAGGTTGACATGCTCTTATGTAAATGACTTCTTTGACTCCTCTCGAAAAACAATCCCGATCTGTGTGCAAGATGTTAACCACTACCCGTTAACCCCTTAAACCCTTTAGTTGTTTCCTCTACTCCAGACATGTCTACCACCGAAGCCGTCTAAGAGACAGGAGATTGCAGATAAGCACACCGTTCACCTTCAAGTCAAAATAATCTGCCCAAATGCCTTTCACTCATTAGACTGACTGTCTGCCTCACAGTTAAAAAATCAGGACTCCTTCTATTGGTTTAGAAAAGCCCTGAAGGCCTGTGTCTCAATGTCAAATATTTGTTGGAGATAACACAGGTGAGATAGCGACTGACATGATTTAAGGTTGGAAGGAATCTGTGATTGTATATGTTTGTATGCTTAATTCTGTATTTACTTAGCACTCAAATCAATGCGTTACTCTTCTCATTGTATGTGTATGTTTTGCTCTTTAATTGGACAAATTGTTTGGTACCGGATGTGTAATAAAGCTATAAACTAAAGCTACAACTTATTAGTGGATTTGCTACAAATATAAAAAGATAAACAGCCTGGATCAAATTAGATTTCAATTAGGCACCTCAACTCTTAACGAGCGGCTGATGAGGATTTAAGATGACACGCACCGTTAGGAGAAAGTCGTAACGATGGGTATCAACATGTGTAATGCGTAGTTATGTGCAAGTTATAAATCCTGCATCAGCGGGGGATTTTACATTTTTTTGCATTGAATCACAAGTACCTGCTGCAGTCAAATGTGCGTGTACATGGATTTCGGAATAAAATTGCTCCGAATCGTAACAGGAACAGTATTGCGACGACCAATTATTGATTTACTTAAAAGATTTCTATCTTCAATCAAGTTATCACTGTTTAAGTAAGACGTGTTGTCTCTCTTAGTCTCACTGAAAAAAAAACGTAAACATGTGCTGACAAGGCCACCGTCTGGGAATATTTATCAATCGTTAATTGAGGTCCAATATATTAAAGGGTTTGGAAATATTTCTATAATACCCTTCTTCCCTCGCCAGTGCGTTTGCGAGTGAGGTTGTTTACCAAGTCGTATGTTCTTCGGGCTGCAGGAAGTACGCTTTTTGGTTATTTTTTCTACCCCACGATAGTGCAGACGAGAACGAAGTTGTTTACATTGTCACCCTAGATGATGGTGGGAAACAATCTGCCAATCATCTAAGCCCAGTATGCTGATTGGTTCTGCCGTCCTACACAGATTAAAAACTGTAGTCTGGCGGAATTCCTAATGTGGCCTCCAGACCACTGACCAAACTCCCTCCAACCATGGTTAGGAGTTGGTCGGGAGCAAGGTCTTTGAATGTGTGACAGGGGATTAACCTGATATCGCATGATGTGGGTTACATTCTGTCAATCATTCCACGGCAGTATGCCAGTTGTTTCTACTACCTTGCTCTGATTTAAAATTTGAGTCTACTGGCACTCTCTTTTCTGAGAAAAAAAAATCATTGTGATATCAGAACGCTGATGTAATTCAACCGGTATTCACCGGTATTACCGGAGCCGTATTATTGTGGCGGGAACCAATCTGTCAATCATGCGATGGCAGCTTGCTGATTGGTTCTCTTACCTTGCAGCGTAATACCTAAAAGACAGAAATAACCAAAACCACTATGCACATATTCAAATTATTAAATGTCTAACTTTGAGAGAATCTACTAAAGTAACCTACAAAGTGTAAATCAGATGAAGTGCTCAACCTGACCGTAGTAAAAATTGCATTGTGTCAGATATTCAGACATTTTGAAAATTGAAATCTGCTCGAAGTCTTTCTTTTATGGAAAAAAATGGAGGGGTCTTAAAT